GTTTATGTTTCTTTATTGTTATAAAAGTTAAATGCAGATAGAATATTGTAATAACTAAATATTAGATGGTCCCAAATATCTATCTCCTGAAAATGCCCGTAGAGAGAAAGCACAGTGTCTGCAGCCACTCCACAGGCTCTTGGCGGATTCTGTTTGAAGCCTCAACACAGAGAAAATCGCAGTAATTAACTACCTGTGCAGTAAGTAATCATTTGTAGCATCGAAGGAGAATAATAGCTTGAATAGAGTTACTCCTCTAAGATTCTCTGTTGGTCCTCCAGCGAAATTCGAAATAGTTAAGCAAAATTTCGATCGGGAACAATGAATCCTTCCAAGATGTCTCCTTAAGTTAGAACCGTCCGTAATATCGGTCCAATTCGCGAACGCTCATAGGACATGATCTCGATGTGCGCCGTGCTTTCCGGAATCCCTTGCCATCTCCCTCGTTCTCTCGATTTATGACTATCAATTGAACGTTCGTCGCATCCTAAAGTTATTCTATTTTAATGGGCGTCGCGATAAAACACGCCGTGTTAGCGTTATCCCGCACGGTTCGTCGGGCTTGCAAATTTTCGGCTCGTCGACTCGCAAAAAGACCGAGCGCGTCCCGGTGGCCTCGCTGTAAGAAGCGAAAATGCATTTCTGCATCGCGCTGCCGCTGGCACGGAAATCACCGGCGATTCGATCGCTTTTTATCCAACTTATCCACCTCGCACTGCGGACGCAAACTCTGCACCCTTGCGACCTCCCCGTGTCCCATCAACCCCTTATCTGTTCCGGCGAGCGACCTGACAATACAGTCCGAATATAACGCGCTCGGTCGTGCATAAGGGAAGCATTCGGCGCTCGCAAACAGCTCGTCCTCGAAGACAGACGACGCCGGCAACGGATGCTTCCATGGGGATGCATAATTACGTTTGCTAATCCGCACACACAGTTGTCAAACTTTTAATCAACCGTTTCGGACGCGAACGGTAGCGGGTAGAAATCGCGAGCTGAAATGGAGTGCGCCTGAAGATTCGTGTTATATAAAATATTTGTGTTGAAAAATTGTGGCGTTAAAAACGTTCTACTGAAATGTTTGCGTTACTTTAACATGGGGGACATGCTGAAAATTACGCAAATATATAGTAAATTAACATATTTACCTCGTTAGGGAATTACTCTTTTAACTCTTTTAACATATTCATCTCGTTAAGCGCAAAAAAATTTCCGTTATTATTACAAAGTTTTTTTTACTGCGTAGGGGAGATGGTGAAAAGCGAGCGAGATAAAGAGAAAGAAAGAAAGAGATAATTATATGTTCCGTAAAAATTAGACGTTTTGCCTGCGTAGCTCGCGCCCTTCATAAAGCTCGGGCTTTGAGTTTTATGAACGTCCTAGTGATACGGATACAAACCGGACAAAGCATCGCAATGTGAAATTATGAAATTTATAAAAGGACGGCGCGTACCAGAGTCCTCCACATTTTTATTCTGTCTCGCGTCTTTACGCTCTCGCCTGTGCGCATAACTGAACATATTTTGAATTAATTATTAATTAATTTCTCCCCTCCCCTCTCGCGCTCTCTTTGTATTGTATTATTGATCTATCTCCTCTGTTAATAATTAAATTAGGCACATTATCAAATGACGCCATTTCCAGTTACTCGGGATTTTCAATTCCGTGATTTTCAATTATATTTATTAATCTATCGTACATGTATAATAATAATAACATGACAGGAACAACGTATGAAGGTTACAACGAATATAATATCGGCCGACAAACCGATATACCTCGGATACAAGCAGCGTCAGATCTATCCTGACACGGAATTGTCTTTTATATTACAAAGCGTTTTCGTGCGACGGTTTAAAAAAAAAAACGCGGACGGGCGCAATAATGTCCGGATAAATGACGCAGTCGCGCGTGTTTTCGTCAGCCGTCGATTCCCCGATATTCAAACTCAACGAAGTTGTGTCCGCACAAAGCGCTAGTAAAAAAGACTAAAAGCCAAACGCGATCGAATCCGTGTTTATTTCATCCCCGCGTCGAAGGGGATCGGCACTTTCTTTCGACAGAGGAACAACTCTTCCTCGCGCAAAGCTAACGCGTGGCGTCCGATTGCGTAAAAAATTGCAATGCACGTGGAGAAGTGCGTGCGGATCGACGGTGAATTTTGACAGCAGGGTACTCACTGCGAGGTTGCTCGCGCGATTCGACGCACCGACGACGCTTCTTCTCCTGGTATCGTCGCGGACTCGCCGAGAGTCACGTGCGTTCGCCGACGAAGTGCGATCGAAGAATCACACCTAAAACGTCCGACACCGCCGCGGATCTGCGGCTAACTGACAACCGTCCTGACTCTCGGCTTGAGCTAATAACGGCGGCGGTAACTACACCGGGCGGGAGGTCGTGCGTGCGCATCGCGCGCTCCCCGAAGAAGTTTTTCCCGCGAGCTGACCGCGAAAGAGATCGAGTCTGCTCGGTGTAAAATCATCCGCCCTAAAATCACCGGATATCCCTTTCACCCACGCGCCCGATTTGGGTTCGACGACGGAACGAAAGCGTCGGGGCGCAAGCGCTTCTCGTAGCAATTAGTAGTTCGGAGCGTAGGATTTGCCTAGCCGAGCGAAGTTTGCGCGAGCGAACCGGCGATAAAATATACTTTGGTTAATTACAAGTTGACTTTTCACTCCCGTGCGACTTTTTGTCACGAGGAGTAATCGCGACCCCGCGCCGTCGAGGCAAGATCGAATTCGTCCGGGGAAACTGCAATAACCGCGTGATTATTTTGATTTACGATCTAATGTATCGCCGTTTTTTTTTTTTCAGAAATGAAATTTTCACGCGGAGAAAATTATTTTCTGGAAGATACATTAGCATTCATAAACTAAACATGTACCACATAATCAACATTCGAGAACAAATATGGGAAATTATTCTTTCATATTACTTTTTTTATGAATAGATTATAGCTTTAAAGATTCGGAAAGAACCCGGTTTTTCCCTATTTTTCCGCGGATTTCTTCGGTTTCCATCCCAAGGGTGGAAATACTCGTTTAGAAAATTTCATATGTGTTCGGTTAAACCTGCTGCATTTACTTTTATCCGGAAAGAAGACAGGGAACCAAAAGAATCCGCGGATATATTAGAAAAAAGACCAAACTATGGAATGGGTTAAAAAACAATTTTTTTATTAAAAAATGTATAAATATTGTTTATAAAAAATAAGTTATACGTTACAAAATACAAGTATAAATATTATACATTTTTATGCCATCGAAAAGATATCCAAACTAAACTAGTAATTAACTATTGTAATATGTATAAATTCGGTTTTTGATATGAATTTTTATTCTATAAAAATTCTCTTCGTGCACACAGTCGGAAGACATAGGCAAACAAGAGAGATTAATATAGAAAGGAAAATATTTGTCACATGGGTGCTCGCGCGAGCGCTTGTTTCTCTTGCAACACGCAGCGATGTAAATTAACATCACCGCGGCCACCGCGCACGATTATAGCCGCAATCCCGAAATTTTAATTTCTAGCGTTACTTTTGCTCACCGAGAGAGAACGATCGAATGAAAATTGTTCGTGGTAGCCGAGTTTTAGAATGTTTAATACGTAAAATATATATCGTGACGTGAAATTATTCTCTCATTTTTACTCTGAAAAATCTATTGCCTACTGTCGGCTGGTCGCAAACACAGAAATGTTCTCATTTTAAATAAGTGCGTTTCTCGTTATCTAACGTAAATAAAAGCTCTTTAAAAGAAAATAAAAAAATATGTATTTCATTATATAGTAAAAGTCTAATTTTCATTACGATAAACACACAAAGATACGGCTTGTAAGATTAATTATTATTAATTATACAAATCAAATATATTATATGTGAAAATTGTCATTGTCTTTTCCTCTTTTTCTCTTTCTTTTTTTAAATCTAGAGGCATTTGGTTTTGCACGGTAATTTTCCGGACACATTTGGTGAAACCGTTTTACGGTTGACTCCGTTTGCAATACATAAACTTGCTAATTGCTTCCTATTACGAAGCGAACTCGTAAGCTCGTCATGTTTCTAGAAAGTGCGTCCACAGTTGGCCCACGCTGCTACGTTCGTATAAAAAAAAGAAGCCGAATTAAGCTGACTAATTAACTTGACCTTGTTCACTGCTGAATAGCTTTATTTGTTCGAACGCGTGGAAACTCTTCGCGCGGTTTTTGGTAATTAGAACGGCGCCGCTTGTCCATCATAATCCAGCCTGTTCTATAGGCATGCGTTTCTCACGAAATTCCGACTGACGCACAATGCGAGCACACAGCAGATAGAACAGCACGATTCTTTCATCACGTGTGTCATTTTCACGATTGTATCCAGTGTCATACCCCCTAATATTATTTTATTTTTCCGAAAAAAGGCTTCACAATTTTTATCTTATCAATCAATTTGAAAAAAATGGTTTTTTATATATGTCATTGCAAAAATTTAATTAACACGAACATTCATATTCGTGTAGCTCGCAACATTGAACTGTAATGTAAATGTAATAACCGGATTTATCAGAGCTGAATCATAAATACTAGTGGGCAGTTTCGTTTTATTAAATCTTTTTCTAGAAAGATGACGTGAAGGCAAGTGTATACGACTTTTTTGCAACAAAGCGCTCGGTTGTATTTTATTCCCTTTTGCTACCATCTTATCGATTCCTTTGTGCTCATTAACTTTTAATTCAAATCTTAATTATTTCCTTTCTCCATTAACTGTTGCAATTAAAATTTTACTCTTTTCTATCCTTTCCTTTGACTATTGCGAGTAAAACTGACGTTATTAAAAATATTTTCTCAACCAATTTACGTTCTGAAATTTATTTAATTTCCAGTTAGCTAAATTATATTAACTAATTAATAACTAATATTAATTAAAAGCATAATTAACTAATATTAAGTAAAAGCACGTAGTATGCATACATATCATAAATAAACTAAAAAACATAAAATATATAAAATGAGAATATAAATGAAAATAAATGACAATAAATGCTAACGAATGAATCCTGTGCCTCCGCGTATTAAAATAACTTTTCAATTATTCTTCTTCGAATATAGGCACGTATTATGAAACTGTTCGGAATAAATTCCGATCGGAAACATTCAATTATTTTCTTTTGTATTTTATAGAAAATATTTCAACAATTTCTATCGGAATCGATAATTCCGGACGAGTCAATAATACGTAATAATTCCATGATCACGTATTCGATTCGTGCCGATCTTTCGATTTCACGAACCCAATGTTATTTGTCACTCTTCGTATCCCAAGGATAAGCATGAAGTGCATTCTGTCCGCCTTCGGACGTGTCATCGCGCGGGGTATCCGGCGTAAAATTGATCGCGCTTTCGTGACAGCTCGAAGTCGTCGACTGTCTCGCGCGAGCGAGCGCTCGGTCGTCTCGCTGTCAGACCAACAAGACTACGAAATTGAAACTCTTCGCCGGCCAGCTGAAAATCTCGCGGAGACCCCTTCGCAAATCCAGCCGTCACCGATCGCGTCGTATCACCGTGAAAAAGTGCCGGAACGATGCTGAACGAAGCGGTCGCGATAAATCCCTCAGGTTGTGCCGCACCGATGCCCGTAATACGGCAGCTCGGGAATATCGCGCGGTCACGTGAAATTTTTATTTACACTCGCATATTCGCGTGCGCAGTGACGTGAAATAGCGCATCGTTGCATTATTTGATTCTAAAACGCCGGCGGAAAAGTTCGGAGAGCTCAAAGGCTATCGTTTTTGGCATGGTCTCTTTGTGACTGTTACCAAGAGAGTTTTGCCAAATTTCCACGTTTTACTATGTTACGTATCGATTTTTCTGCATTTAATCGAGAATTTTATATTCTCCCATAAATTTTCGCTTCCATTTCCAAATTTCCGCTGTAAGAGATTTTCGCGTTTGGAACAACGGGCAATTGTGCAATTCGTTAAAATCGATATTCACGTTAACGGATAATTTAATATCGTATCACTTTCTGGAATTAATAAATAAATAAATTATATACCGATTCGACGACACGCGTGGTTTCATCTTGCAGAATTTTAACGCTGGATATTGTATGTAGGTTATAAGATTAAAATCAAATTGCAATGTCGGCCATCGTGGCATAATTCATAGCGTGCTCTTCTCGTGTCGCACTTTGTATTTACTTTTTTGCATCTTTCCTTTGTGTATTTCCCGACATGTGTTACGTTTAAAACGAAATGGGAGCTCGTGTCTTCGCTAGCTGGAGGAAGAAAAGCAGAGAAAGATAAGAATGCAAAAAATAAAAATGCACCTAAGGGAGTAGAAAATTGCTTAATTTTCAAGAGCACGACTGCATAAAATTTATATGTGCTCTCTCGATCTAAGTGAACTTTCAATTATAAACCGTGTCCTCATTCGTTCGTCTCCGCTATCCGACTGTATATCTACGAGCCTTGAATATTTTTTTTCGATCGCTTTAACCATATCCTCTTGCACCGTCTCCGTGTTTATAGAAAAAGCGGAGGAATGTCCGCCGTCCAACTGTTCGAGAAAGTCCGCGACGTCGAGCACCGGAAATAAAAATCACAAAAGTAGAATTCCGACGACCCAGCTTGGGCGAAGTGCCATGCAAGTATGTTAATGCCGCATGATTGCCAAATAGTTTTACGTATAAAGCGATGTTTGATGTTACACGGTGCCACGTGGTGTAAACCAGCGCTCGCTGGGGCGGAAGTGACCCGCGCGCTCTAACGTTCTAGGATTAAATTTAGCGGCTGGCGTGGAGACTAACGGTGTGTTTAACGCAGACGTGCGTTCCCCTCCGCTGCGATAAGCGCGTAATTCGTTGGAAAAATAGCGGGTGCACGACGTTAGTAAATCAACGCGAGCCTTGTACAGGAGCGTGCTTTGCGCGTAACGCACGATTTACATCGCGCCGACATCAGCTCGAATTGAAAATTGCGCCCGGTGACTTCTCCTTATGCGACATTAACCGCAGGAGAGCCCCCTCTTCCAACAGGGCGATTCGTCAAGTCATCAGTTACCGTGCGAGGAATCGTCCAACGAGAATAGCTCGAATAACAACTCCGCTCGCCGGTCAACCATGAAGACTTCGAGCACACCGCCGACTAACAAAAAACCAGCCGCCGTGACCACCGCTGATAAACGCCAGCTGGAGGTCCAATTTAGCAGTAGGAAGACGCGATACGCGATGCTGAGGAAGGCGCTGGCCGACAAGGAAGTAATTATCGTGCAATATCGAGTCTCTTGCGGTTGATTTTTCACCTATTAAGAGAGAGGAGGAGGGAGATCTGAATTGTTTTTTTCGAGTTGAATTCCTCTCGAGCGAGGAGGAGCGCGTAAGAACCGAACTCATCTCTGAACTCACGCGTCTCCAGAAAACAGCGCAGGACCTGTACAAGGAGATGTCGAGCCTGCGGGAGAAGATAATCGCGGCCGGCGGCAAGGATCCCGGCAAGATCGAGGAGCCGAGATCGCCTCTAGTGGACGGTCTCAAGCAAAAATCGCCGGGCGAGTGGGGCTCGTCGAACGATTTGGTCGAGAAGCGATTACCGGCGATCAGCGTGGACGAGTCGGCGATAATCGGAGTGTCATTGCTGCAGAATCAGCTGCAGGACCTCTGCGATCATTCTCGAGAGCTGTGTCAGCGCGCGCTGGACAGCAGCTCGTCGTTCGCGTCCCTCGTCAAATCCTGGCTGACAGAATCGAGCCAGTCCGAGGCGGGCAACGCGCCGCTCGACACGGAGGTGGAGGCGCAGCTGGCGATCTTCGGACGGGACAACGAGGATATGAGGACGCGGTTGAACGAGCTGGCAGCGATCCAGAAAGACCTCGTCGCCGAGCTCGCGAAGAGATCCTCGAGCCTGACCGGCGAATACGAGAATGATCGCGCGAACGAGCCGCCGGGCGGCGATCGCAAGGACCTGCGGGAACAGCTGAACGCCGCTCTGGAGGAGCTCAAGACGGAGCGTGACAGGGCGAATCACGGGAAGGAGAAGGCGAGGATGACGGAGCTGCAGATGCAGAAGGCGCGGGCGAAGGTTCGCGAGCTGGAGGGCCACGTGGTGAACGAGGAGGCGAAGCTGCAGCAACTGCAGAGCAGCGTCAAGTCGCTGGAGGCCCAGCTGAAGCAGAAGGATCAGGCGATGGAGCAGAGGATGAAGGACATGCACAAGGCGATGAAGAGCAGCGAGAGCCTGGTGTCGAAGATAGAGAAGCAGCGCGACACACTCGAGACACGGTTATCTTTCTTCGTTTCTTTCGATTCGTTCCTCGTCGAATTTTCTTTCCGTTCTTCCGGCATTTTCGTTTGAGCGACTGAAAATAAAGAAAACCAAGTTAGACTTAGCATTGAGATGTTCCAAGTCGAACGAAATCGCTTATACGTGGATAGGAACGATCGTCCCTCGTCGTTTCGGTATCTCCTCAATGTGGCTTCTTTCCAGGATGTTGGAGCTCAAAGAACAGATGGTCAGCAAGGAAGCCGAGGCGAACGCTACCATCAAGGAATTGTCAGACAGATTCGGGACGATCGACGCGGAGATCAACGAGGAGAGGGAGAAGAGGCGAGTGCTTTCCCTCCTTAGCTTCGTCCTCGCATTTTTCCCACGAGCTTTCGACTGCCACGATTTACAGCTCGGATATGGGAGAATCTCCTCGCTTAAATACATCGATATTGCGACACAGAGTATTTCCCCTTCACTTTTTCCAAGCCGGTAAATTCCGATTAAAAATCTATTTCTCAGGCAAGAAGCCGAGAACGCTCTGGCCGAGGTGGAAGAACGTTGTAAACATCTCGAGGAGAAGAGCCAGCTGCTCTGCGAGCTCGCGAGCGAAAAGAGCAACAATCTAGTTGTGGCAGGTGGGTAAGCTGTGCAATTTCCGCGCGGTATCGAGATGCCATCGGCATCTCGAGCGACGGGGATGTTGATGTCCAAGCTACACGTCTCAACCGTCGAGAGCTCGCTCTCACGCTTCGGTCATACGTCGATGCGTTTAGATAACAAACACACGGAGAACGAGATGCATCTGTACAACGATCTGCAGGCGACCCGGGCCGAGCTGGAGAAGGAGCGACGGAAGACCAAGCAGCTGGAGACGGAAAAGCAAGAGATCGTCGCGGTGATGCATCGGGCGGCCGTTAGTTTGCACTACTTTCGAGAGCTCTGCTTGTATAAGAACTAACAACCGTTCTCGATTCGTTCGTGCTCGTAAAACCGTGATTCTCTTCTCGCTCATCGCCGATCTCTTTGCCGCTATCTTTCCTCGGGATCGGTCTTGATTATTCCTCCTTTCCGCTTGCACACAGAGCCGCGATGACGAAAATGAGACGAAGGATAAGCTGGCCGCCGAACTCGCGGCCAAGACCGAGGAGCTCCAGAACCTGATGCTGGAGAACTGTTACCTCCGGGAAGAGGTCGAATTCGCGTGAGCCTCAGTGTTGTTCCTTCCCGATATCCGATTGTCTCACGCGACATCAGATCGTTCTTGCACCATCGACGTCTCTTCAAGTTTCCAGATCGAAGAATGCGCTCCACTCGATTCTTGCGTCTTTTCTCTCCTTCCTTCCGCTTATTTTCCCTTCATCGCTTACCGAAATGATTACCGCTACGAATATTGCAGGAAAAGGAAGAGAGATGGGCTGGAGAAGCAGTTGTCTGAAATTCAGCACCACCTCCATGCGAAATCAAAGGAGGGCAGTAAGACGGGACTCGACGCGATTGGCTTGCAACAGCAAGTCAGCGACCTGCGGAACAGCCTGGCCCAAGTCATACAACAGAATCAGGAGCTGGAGACCACCCTGACACAGAAACAGCTGGAATTGGAGCAACGCGATCGCGTGATGCGGGAGCAGAGCAAGTTCCTCAAGGCCCGAGACGAGTTGTTGACTGTCCTCAAGAAGAAGCAGCAGACCAGCGTAGATAATCCCTCTAATGAGAGCTACGAAGACATGGACGAGGTAACGTCGTAGCCACCGAAACTCGTAGTTTGTTCAAAGCTCATCTTCTCATTGTCGTCTCCTTGCGTCGCGTTTCCCTTCTGTTCCCTCATTCTTTCGATTCCTCCTTCATCTCTTCCTCGAGTTCAATTCCGTTTCGTGACCACTTATACGCTTATAGATCAACAAACAGGTCGCGGCGAAGACGGAGGCGATCCAAGAGCTGTACGCCACGCTAGAGGGTAAGCAGATGCAGGTGATGCGGCTGGAGAAGCTGGTGAAGCTACTGGAGGACCAGCAGGACCGGGCGCAGGCGCAACGCACGCGACTCGAGCACCGCATCGCTCAGCTGGAGATGAGCCTACGGGACAAGACGAAGAACGGCAACTGGTATGTCTCCAGCGAGTACAACTCTGGTAAATCCGATCGAACGTACGTCGTCGAAGGCGAAGTGTCGCGCGCTCTTCCTCGCGAGTCGGAGCGAGCGTTGTCAGAAGAATCCGCGCCGTCGTTCGGTCTTGTTGTTAATCCGCGGTCGCGGAAGAGGCTACGGTTCCCGCGGTACCGTCGCCTTCCACCCTCGAAGAGCCTGCATCCGCCGTCGAGCTCGATCGGCGCCTCGTGCCGCAGCAAATCCGCGAGATTTCACGACTGGTGTCGCGCTTCCTCCGACAAGGAAGAGGCTTTCGTCTGCGAGCGATGCCAACTCGAAGCTAACGAGAGACTCAAGGGTGACACGGCCCGTCAAGTCGAGCGAGCCCTTCGTGAACCCATTCACGGTTGGCTCATGCGGCCCTCGGCTTTGGAAGCCGTCCTTGAATCCGGCACGACCGACGAGAACGAGGATCGCTTCTTCAGGATCGTCAGTCCATGCGTGGTTCGCGGTGACGGGTGGAATCGTAGCAGGGAGTCGTGTCGTCGCAGACGGCAATGTCGTAGTTGCTCTTCGAGGCGATCTCTGTACGGCGCGTTCCCTCGACAATGCGGCCCGATTATTCACCCGACGTAGCATCCGCGATTTCGTGTACATAGATCGTTTATTTCACGTTGTCGAATAATCGTTGACACTTCGGCGCATATATATTAATCGTTCGACTCTTGAATTCAGCTCTGTGAATTAAACAGTTCCTTTCTAACCCGTCATTATTATATTTATATTTGAAGAAAGTAGGAATCATACGTATAATATTGTAAAACGGATGAGAAGTAATGTGTAAAAAGAGAAATTTAAAACCTCGCTCGGTAGGAAGCTTATTAAACCAAAGTTAACCGATTTTCTATTTCTCTTGACGTGTATATGTTGGGAAGAAACCAGCCAATCTCTCGACAATTTGACATTAGTCGGTCAATTTATTAATTCAACGAGTTATAATACAAATATGCGTTATATTGAATAAATTATTCGTTGCCACTGTATAGATCTAAAACAAGTAGATATCATTAACACATTCGAGACAATCTTCTCTGTGAATTCAATTATAATCTTTTATTTACATTCTTATAATTTTTATAGAAGAATATACAATTTTCCCGTCGTAACGAAACTTGAGAAATTCTTCAATTTCCTTCTCATCTCGAAAGTGTTAAATGGTCTGTTTCGATAGGCTAGGTGCTCCCTGCTACGTTGCATTAGCGTTTATTAACTCGACAACAGAGTTTCTTACAGAGTGCCTAGCCTTTCAATTGAACAGACCAAGTTTTTCGATCTCCTTACACTTCTGACAATTTACCCCTTTATGTTTTAGGAATAGAACCTTGGGCATCCTGTAAGAAATCTCTGTACTCGTCGGCTCCATTAACGTATCGCCCCATAACCCGCAAAATTGGACTTGACGGCAAATCATTGTGTATGTCATGTAATTCGCATAAAGTGCTACGCTCTCACAGAAATTGCGTGTGTAATTGAAAACATAACACGATTGCCGTTTTTATCTTTTGAAACGTCTATCGTAACATTCATAAATAAATGTCCTATTTGTAGATCTCCTTTATTTTGTATCACAATGTTTACCTTGTCGCATACAAATCTGTACATCTCCGAAATATATTATAGCTTATATTTCTCTCTATTATTCGCTATCATTATCGCTACTACCTGAATACGTACCTAACAGCGAAAGACTATTGCCTGTGTTATCTGACTTAGTGCCTGTACTTGCTGTATTCGAGGTACTCGTTGGAGTGTCTTGCGTCTCGTTCGACTGCGGGACTTTTTCATTATCGGTAGAAACCACGCTCTCGGACACGCTTTTATTTTGTGACGGCTTCGCATTTATCTTTATGCCGATATTGCTTTTTTTAGCTAAAGTGGACGAATTATTTTTGCTAGACGATAATCCAGCTTTCCCTGACCACAATGATATCTTAGGTTTCACTGATTCTTTGTCATTTGTTTCACTCACCTTAGGCACTTTTGAAGGGGGTTCCATATTTACCTCTTCTTCTTTTTCTTCTTTTTCTTCTTTCTCTTTTTCTTCTTCTTCTTCTATCTCTTCAATTTCCTCTTCTACAACAGTCCCCGTTAACTGTCTTTTACCAAATACAGATTTAATATACTGTTCATCTAATTCTTCTTGTTCTTTTTCTGTTCGCTGTCTACTAGTTTCTGTGTCAAATTGTTGCAACATTTGATCGTAATCTATCGTCTGTTGCCTGCGATTTAAATCCTTCAACTCCTCGAGAGACTCTAGCAGCTCCAGCTCCTGCTTCGACTGAAGGGTTCTCTTCTCCAAGAGTTTCATTGGATTAGTGGCCTCCTCTTCTTTTTCCTCGTCTTCTTCCCTCTGTGCTTGTTCCTCTGCCAACTTCAACGCCATGAAATTTCTTGTAGCACCTGCCTCGATCTCATAATCTGTGTTCTTGGGATCAGTCTTAAAGGATATCTCTTGCAGACAGCGTGTACACTTGATGTAAAACCTGTAAATGCGTATTCCCAGGTAATCGTCGCCCTCGACGTCTTCCTTACGCGCATTAAATTTCTTGCCCTTGTAGATATATTCACCGCATGTTTTGCATCTCATATTAAACGGCGCCATCAATCGTACGGTATATTGGCGATTTCTCGCCAATTTCATGCGCGGGATCTTCGACGGATCGAAGTCCGGCGGGTAGTATTTCTGAAATGTCAGATAACCAGGAAGTGTTAGGTATAAGAGGCAAACATACATCATATATGTAATATATTTAATCGCCTAAAATTCTCATACGTACGTTCAATACTTTGCGCTCCGACATTTTGCAGTTTCACACTTCAACACTGTAGAATTCAATAAAGTACATGCGAATATCTCCTCCAAGTATTTCGAGCAACGGAGATAGCTGATGTTGATTTTAGGTTACGTCGATGATCGTTCTTCTCAGTTGTGGCTATAGACTACGTCGAGGCCTATCTTCTACGTCAGCGGTCAGTGGCTGTCATGATTGTTTCATGGCTGAATAGATGGCTCCACAAGACCAATTCAATATATAATAGCTTCTGCCCACGGGACGCGACAACGCTTGCCGCGCGGCGGGAGTTCGCGCGGTAGCCAATCAACATGTCGTTTTTCGGTAAGAACTAGAAATTGATTGGCTACCGCGCGAACCTCCGCTGCCCGGCAAGTGTCCTGTGAGCAGAAATAGTAACGTGCACTAAGTGCAGAACGAGCTGCGTTGAAGATGGCCGCCGTATCCACCAATCACATCGCCGCGTAACTATCGATTCTTACAACTTGCGAAATGCTTCGATTCTCGAACAGTTAATGATGTCGGTTACTAAATCAGCGTAATTTATTAATCGCCCCGCGTATAAACAAAATAAGTACATATTTAAGTCGCGCGTTGTGCCTCAAGTAGGATAGAAATCCGCGGAAAGAGGAGAGGAAGCAGCGGGAGTAAAGGCGGACGAATATCTGGACGGGTGATCGAAAAATGATCGAGCAAAGTAAGTGCAATCTAACGAATGCATTCGCTTGCGGTAACCATCTTTGAAAGTTTTCTAACGTACCGAAAAATGTCGCGAAATCGCGCCTTGGTGTCCCAAACTCGCGGTCTATTCCATATTTTCACCTCTTCTCCGCGAAAGAGGAGACGTAATCAGAAAAAAGATGCAATTACGATCGGGGATCCCGCGACGTAAGTGACAAAACCTATCTCGCATCTCTCTCGCGCCAACAGCTCGATCGGCGGTCGAACATAGCTCGTCTCCTCCAGAAAGCCGTATCACTCCGAACGGCAACCGGATTATCTCTAATTGCTCATTAATAATTATAGCTCAGCGTGATTAATACGTAGCATTCGAGAGATCCCTCGTCTCTCACGGGGTCACTCGAACCTTTCTCAAGATCTTCGGATGCGCTTTCCTTCCCACGACCCTCTCCCCCCCCCCTCCTTCGCCTGTCGATCCTCCAGCGTATTCTCTCGGTCTGCCGTTAATGTAAGTTAAATTATCCCGCGAGTTCGTATAAACGCGAGCGTTTGGAGAACGGCACGCTCTGTGAACGCGGTGAAAGCGACCGGTACGTATGAAAGTACTTCGCGGAAAGTATTTCAATCGGGCGCCGCGTGTACGCGAGCGCTTCTCTATGCAGGTTATTATTCAGCAAGGTGCAAAGTCCCGTCGGACTTGCTCGACTCGGATCAGTCGAACGTGCGCACCGTAGAAACCGACAAACGAGAGCTTTGTGCTTCGACGCGGCGCATTGTGCACGATCCTTCGCGGAATCAGAAGAATACGCCCACGAGAACGCGGAATATGTCTTTCTCCTGTCCTCTCCCCCCCCCCCCC